TTGAAATAAACCATTTGATATAGAAATCTAGAAATAACTTGGATTCATATTTGTTAGCACTTTTGTTGCCAGGGTCAGAATATTTGGTTGTAGTAATTAGATTCTATATTAACTGGCCCATAATTCATACACGGCCTTGTGATTATGTAGTTGTATGTAGTAAATATGAAAAATTACTCTAAACTTTACACCCATAATCATGTTATATAATGATGAGTACATTTGACAACCCCTCTACTATCGTGGAAATTGTTTCAAAGTGCAAATCTCACTATAAATACCCGATTTAAAACCAATCGCCAGCAGTGGTAAGGATACAGTGAGTCGATCCCTATTGGCAATCAATGATTGCACCAAAAATATATAACATTTTCTAGTCTTGTTTGGCGTTTCTCAAGACATTAGTGTTCACTCGTGTGGCTAAACATTACGGTTTAATAAATGGTTTGGAAATTTATATATAATTCAATAGATTTGTTTTGTCTGTGTATTTGTCTCTATAAAACTTTTTTGCTTGTTATTAGATTTATTTGTTTGATTTTATTTAGAGAATCGAAAGTTTTTATAAAACTTTTTGTATTCGCTATAGTTTTTTCAAATGATGACAAATCAGCGCCAGAATTATTGATTAGATGAATGTAATAAACGGATAAAATTGTTGTTTTCAAAAAGTTTTATTTAGTTTTTGTTATTCTGTTTTCCTTTTTTAATGCAATTGTATTGTATTAAAAAGTTTTATTTTATATAAAAAAATTTTCCGAATTTATTTTCCTCGTTTGAATTATAACTATAATTGCTTTCAATATTAGTTTCGCCATTAATTATAACTTTTGATTATAATTATTATATTAATAATAATATTACTTTACATTAATTTAATTGAGTTTTTCTCTGAATACGTTTTTATAACTTATTTTAGATATAATATAGTATTAACTGAATACACATGGAGTTACTATTTGTCGTTTAAATTCAATTTTTGCCAAACAATAGACTTTTATTTATGTCGAGAAAACATTTATATTAAATATTTGTTATATTGTATTCATATGAATATCAATGAGAAGTGTGAACACAATTGTTATGATAAAGTGTGAGAATGTGTTTCATTTGGGAAATGTTAGCCAAACTATTTTAATGACATTTTTGTTGCAAACTTTTGTAAAGTATTTTGTCTTTGAGTTTTGACTCCGAAAATGAGTTTTTCGACAAATAAAACCATTTTAATGACTTTCAGTGCTATTGAATCTCATTATAACTACACTTCAATCGCAATCAACGGGACGTGAGTTTTGTTTGTAATATGATTTGCTATCTATTTGTGCATTCATTTAGTTTGCCATCCAATCACCCAAAGAATGACCAGAATTTCCAAAACTAATTTATGCCCACAATATATATGTGTCTATTTGTTATTCACTTTATCGAGTGTTTTGTGTACAAATTCTTTGTGTATATTTTTTGCTATACATATAAATCTACTTTGATTTGTATATAATTTTTCTAATGCAGATGTTTTGTGTTACTAAACTAGTTACGAACAAATTAAAATGCATATCAAAATTGGTATTGTTTTGACATTTTTGCTATAATTTTTTTTATAACTATTACTTTGCTCTCAATTATATTTCCTATGCTACCTTTAAATCCTTTGTATTATTTATGATTTAATATTGATCCAATACGTTTGTTATCAATCCATATATAAATAAAAACCCACATTATGATTTTCAAACTAAATATGTTGGTTTTTACTTTTACGGTGAAATGTCCAGAAAATCAATTATTGTTTAAATGTCTGTATTTGTAAGAATTGCGTGACTTATGCTTAAAAATAGTACAGAATATTCTGCTATTTGTGATCAATAATATTCATCAGAAACTCACTTTATTCACAAACTTATTGTTAGTGCAGTGTTGTAATGATATTATTGGCCATAAGTTTAATAGAGTTTCCTTAAGTCAACCAAAACTCATAAAAAGCTTATATTTAATAAATATATCAACTGTAAAAATGCAACAAAAATATTTTACAAACTGTGGTTTTATACTAAAAACTCTTAAAATTGTACTGTATGTTTCTTGACAGTAAACGTGTATTAAATTACAAACTCATTGTACACGTATTTTAATCTTATTTATGAAAATGTAATTATATTTATGATTTATTTGGTGTATTGAACGTGATTTTCTGTGTACGCAAAATATATATTGTATTTTGTGGTGTTTATATAGAAATGTATTTTTAATCTGTTTCAAGTAAAAAGTTTCTCTGCGATTTATATCATTAAAAATGTTTGTGTGAGTACTTTGACGTCTAATTTATTATTTATTTACTTACTTTACACTTGAAGTGCTTTTATATGTTTAAAATAATTTTTATGTTTTAATATTTCACTTATCATTTCGATAATCCATTTATTGCATGATTTTTAGCAATCCAATTGAAAAGTCCATTCAATTTATTGGTTTTAGACATAACCATAAATAGTAGGAATATTCTGCTATTCTACACATGTGTACAGTATTTGAAAGTCATTATGAGATTGATTTGAAAATTTATATTCAAAAATGTTTTCACGACTCGAAATGACTTTTCCAACTATTTCTCCTAAATTTCAATTCAATGCATAATGAGTTTAATTAAATCTAATGTCAATTAATTAATAGTCTTTTACGTAATGCTATACTTAAATGATGCTAACCTTTACAAACCTCTCACAAGTCAGTCATTGCAAATTTTTGAAACCCTATTTATTTATGTGTATTTTAAAGTATAATTCACTTAATCCTTAGAGTTGTGAAAAGTAATTGAATTTTAAATAATTATATCGATTGTGGAAATGTTTGGCTAATTTTGCTCGCATTCAATGCTCACAACTCATGTTTTATTCAATATTTATAATTAGTTTTTGGGCACTTTTATTCCCTATGGCTTATGGACTCGACTTTCCTAATGAATTCAAACAGACCTTCAATTTTGTTTTCTTTTTGCAAAAACCTTTTTACAGTTTATTAATTTGAGTGAAAGCTATAAATATAGCGAATATTCAATACTATATTCTGTATAACGAGTGCACAATATACCAGTGCTAAGACATATTCATTGGCATATTAGTGATCCATTATATTATGCCATATATTAGCAGATATTCACTATTGACTTATATTTGCATATATTTCCCAATTTTTATTCGTAAAACACATGCAATAAGACTATAATTTATTATTTCATTCATTAAATATGACTTTAAGTAGCAGAATAATCAATAAAAAGCAATACTTTTGGCAAATAGTAAACAGGGAGAGAGGGAGAGAAAGTTGAAAAGTGAGATTCAATGACCCCGGTCTTGCTCTTATGAAACAGGACTTTGAGGTTTTGGCATAACTTTCATTCATTTCACGGCTAATACAAGTCAGATATGTTTTGAATTTCACCCGACATATGAAAAATCCCATCAATTGAATATGCATTTTGTTTTTTATATGTCAAACACATTTCGCTTTCAGTACTATTGACCCGAATATAGCGTATAATAAGTGTTAAAATTAATGTTTGTTTGTTTGGCTTTAATTACTTATTTGTTTCATGTTATATAACATAGTTTAAAAGTGTTATAAGTTATATAAGCTATAATATAAGTGCAAACAAAATCAATTGTAATTAATGGGCATAATGTTTGGTCACATACTAAAGGTGCTGACAATGAAGTCACCGAACAGTTCCGCCACCACTTCAGCGGAAGAGCTTAGCACTAGAAGAGCTCAACTATTGTCGTCAATCAAAACCTTTATCGTAATCCTAAGCACTTCTATCATCTCATTCATAGCATTTCGCAATACACTCACCTGGTATTCAATTGGTTCAGACACTATGACACCCCTCGCATCAAAGTCGATGACTGCTTACCACCGATTAAGTCCCGCAGATAAGTCATATTTGGTGCTCAAGTAAATGGTTGATCACGTAAATAGAGTTTTAAGTGATTTGATTTAATGAGTCACTAATTAATAACTCATTGTTTGTATCACTATATCATAAAACTTGAACAAACATCCGGAATCCGAGTGCATAATCTTAATGTATAAAAATCTGACTCTAATTACATGACTAACCATAAAATCGGACACTGAATATGACTTCCCGTGGGTGACACCACCCCCACCGAAGCGGTCATTGACTTTGAAGTGACCCAACTCTCACTGAAACCCAACCAACTGTCCGCTTAAATTCACTATAACTCTAATCACACGAACGCTACAATAATTCGCATACCATTCCTCTGAACAGGTATTTGCAGCGCTTTTGGGGCGCTTCTGGCGATTTCTGGCAGAGCCAGTGGGAGAAAGTGTTGGACGCCTTCGGGCACAACCAGTTCAACGTCGGCTTCTTCGGCACCTTCTTTGTCACGTTCTTCGTCTACTGGATTGTGGGCACCATTTACACGCTGATCGACTTCACCGGGAGGCCCGCCTTTTTGCTCAAATATAAAATACAGGACCCGAACGCCGCATATCCCGTACGCGTGTATCCCATACTAACTATACTCCCGTACCCCTCATGTGTACCAGTATTTACTAATCCCTTAAAAAATATCATTCATTTCGCCACAAAAGGTGTCAAAGAAGCAAATCTTTAGCGTTCTTCGGCAAGTGTTGATCAACCAGTTTCTGGTGGGAATCCCTCTGACACTGATCGGCCACTACCTGATCCTATGGCGCGGCTATGATTGGGGAAAACTGCCGACATTTCAATGGGTTATTCTAGAGCTCAGTATTTGTATTCTGTTGGAAGAGTTGTGTTTCTATTACTCGCACCGATTGCTACATAACCCGCGACTCTATAAATACATTCACAAACAACACCACGAATGGCAGACACCCATCGCTATTACAGCCATTTATTGTCACCCGATTGAGCACATCTTCAGCAACCTATTGCCGCCATTGCTCGGTATGTAATGTCCACAAAATTATATACTGATTAGTATTCATGATTACAATTTGTTTAACTCTTTTGTATGAAACAAATATTAGGACCCCTTGTGTTGGGCTCGCATACGGCCACCGCATGGCTGTGGTTCACATTAGCCACACTCTCCACACTGAACGCCCACTCGGGAT